TTATTTGTATAGGGTGCAGCTCAACATCCACGGCTGTACCCATGGCTGCTCTCAAATTAGATCCTTCTTCATCATCACCATTTATGGACCATGTGCCAGGCAGTTAATCTGTGTTATCTCATGAGAAGGGTACAATTATCATTCCCATCTTACAGATGAGGAAACTGAGGTAGACAGAATAATTCACATGACCGAGGGAACCCAGGTGGTAAGTGGGAGGGCTGTGTTGGATGCCAGGCCAATTCCAGAACCAGTTCTGAAACTTCAAAGAGTTAAAAATGGTTGTCTCTAGGGGTAGGACTAGAGGAGAGAGAGCTGTGTGGAGCAGGGGTCTGCTGCTTTTCTTATAAGCCTTTTAGTACTGTTTGACTTTTTACTAGGCTGGTGCTCTTCTAACCCACCGTTACTTAACTGAGGGGTAATATCCGCTCAGCCTGGTGTGCCCCCTGCTCTGGCAGGCAGGAGCTTCCTTGACACACTTCACACTTCAGTTTAAATTGTTTGGCCACCTGGCTAACCTCATGTCCAGATCCTGCTGGGTAAAATGTTCTTTTTAAAATAAAAATCCCAGAAAACAAAAACAAAAACTTACATGAAGGAGCTTGTGTTTTTTTAATAACAAAAGTTCCCACTAATAAAACGCAAAAAGAACTGATGTCAGGGGCCGGCTCTGCTTCAGTGGCCCAGGGATTGCAGGTTTGGATCCTGGGCGCAGACCTGCACATTGCTCATCAAGCCATGCTGTGGTGGCAGCCCACATATAAAATAGAGGAAGATGAGCAGAGATGTTAGCTCAGTGACAATCTTCCTCAAGCAAAATGAGGAGGATTGGCAATGGATTTTCACTCAGGGCCAATCTTCCTCATAAAAAAAAAAATAGAACTGACGTCATTGCTGAGGTGATGACTCAGCCTTCTCAGTGATGAAGGTGAGGTCACTGGCTAGAAGGGACAGGGTGAAAATGAGGACTTGGCCCCCTGCAACCCACCCCCACACAGCAGCCAATGGCCTTTTTAGGATCCTTCAGGCCTGATAACACCCCTGTTTCCTTCCTTGATCTTCCATGCCCTCAGGACAGAGTCCACACATCTTGGGGTGCTTACAAGGCTTTATTATCTAGCCCCATTTACCTCTCTAGAGTAAAGGGCTATCATTGTCCCATACTACCCCCTCCACTACTCCCTATGCACCACTACCCCACACCCCCCACCACCTCCTCAGCTACAGCCACACTGATCTTTTTTTTTTTTTTTTTTGAGGAAGATCAGCCCTGAGCTAACTGCTGCCAATCCTCCTCTTTGTGCTGAGGAAGACTGGCCCTGAGCTAACATCCGTGCTCATCCTCCTCTACTTTATACATGGGACGCCTACCACAGCATGGCTTGCCAAGCGGTGCCATGTCGGCACCTGGGATCCAAACCGGTGGACCCCAGGCCGCCAAAGTGGAACGTGCGCACTTAACCGCTGCACCGCGGGGCCAGCCGCAGCCACAGTGATCTTAAATTGAGCTCTCTTTGCTTCTCTGGGACTTTGCACCAGCTGCTTCCCCTGCCTGAATTGTGTTTTCCCTTCCTTTCTTCATCTGGCTAGTTTCCAGTCCTCGTGATTCAGGTTTATCAGTTTAGATGTCGCTGCTTCCAGGAAGTCTTCCTGGCTTCTGTACCTAGTTATGAGCCTCCCCTAGGTGTTCCCACAGCACCCTGTACTTTCCCCATGAAAGCACTTGCTAGTCTCCAAAAGACCACACTTCCCAGTGTTTGTGCCCTGTGTCTTCCCCTCCTACACTGATTCTGGGCTGACTCTGTGAATTGCTTCAATCAACAGAGTGCAGGAAAGGTGATACCGAGCGAGTTCAAGGCCTATCCTTAAGAAACCTGGCAGCTTCCACTTTTGTACTTTTAGAAGCTCTGAACCACCGTTTAAGTTCAGCTCCCCAGCTGGAGAGGCCCTGAGACTACATGGAGGAGGAAAGACTCAGGCTTTCCAGGGTCATAGTTGAGCCTTCATATGACTCCAGACCCATCTGGCTGGCCATCTGACAGCCACCTCATAAGAGACCCTAAGTGAGACCAGTAGAATTGCCCAGCTGAGCCCAGTCAATTCACAGAAGTGAGAGAAATCATAAAATGGTTGTTTTAAGCCACTATATTTTGGAGAGTTTGTTATGCGGCAATAAATAACTAAAACACTTTTCTGTATTTTAATCATCTACTGAATTAGTTTGCCTCCTAGACTATTTTCTCTGTGAGGGCAGGGACCACATCCACTTTTTAAAAACTGTTATAGGGGCCGCCCAGTGGCGGAGCGGTTAAGTGTGCAAGTCCCGCTTCGGGGGCCCGGGGTTCGCAGGTTCGGATCCCGGGTGCAGACATGGCACCGCTTGGCAAGCCATGCTGTGGTAGGCGTCCCACGTATAAAGTACAGGAAGATGGGCATAGATGTTAGCTCAGGGCCAGGCTTCCTCAGCAAAAAGAGGAGGACTGGCAGCAGATGTTAGCTCAGGGCTGATCTTCCTCAAAAAAAAAAAAACTGCTATATACTCAGGACATTCTCCAGCACAGAATAAGCTCTCATATATTTGATTAATGCAAATTAAGAACGTCTACAAAAACAACGGCAACAACAAATGTCTAGAACACTCACTGTGGCCAGTACACAATGGCCTCAAAAAAGGTGATTAACTGGACATCTGGGCAGTTAGGTTCCCAATGTGAGTTAGACAGCTTCCCTTTGTGGAGGGATTGGGTCAAACTGACTTTGGGCCACAAGCCAACAACACAGAGCAACCTTGGGAGCAGGAGAAGAAGATGGCCGATGGTTTGGGCCTGGAAGTTCAGGCAAAGCTACAGGCAAGGGAACACAGTTGCCACCCCTGATGGTGCTCCTCTGGGCAGCACTGAACTGGTGATCTGCTGTGTCACTGAGGCCTCCAGCTGTCCTTGCCATCTATCCCTCAACAAGTGGTCCCTTAGTTTCTTAGGCTTGCAGGGACAAGAGATGTCATCATGCCATTTTACATATGGGAACAGACACTTCATCTTCTTCAAAAATTTTCAACCAGCTTCAATCACGGAGGGCCCTCAATGTTTGTGTGTGGAATGAATACATTTCCACTCAAATCAATAAGTCCCATGACTGGGGTCTGGGGCTCTTGTCTGTAATCGTCAGCGGCACAAGGTGTCTAGTCAACGGGCATTGTTTGAACATCCTCTGTGGGCTGACAGTTTATGTCAAGCCCAATGCGCGACGCAAAATGGGAAAATGCCATCCTTGCCCCGAGGGAGAGAACTGGGGAGACTAGACTTACACAAATGAGATAATTAAATAACAGGACAACATATAATTACTGCTAAATTGTGTGCTAAGAAATTACGTGCTACTGGAATTGGGAAAAATGGAGAGCAGGGAGGGCTCAAACAGTTGGGGAGACGTCACTGAAGAGCTGGATGTGGCCGAGCCTTGAAGAATGAAGTGAACCACCGACAGGATGAAGGGAAGAAGGGCACGGAAGTCCCAGGAGGAAGAACAGTGCAAACCAGTATGCTTGTTATTGTTATTTAATTTTTAGGAAGATGAGTCCTGAGCTAACATTCGCTGCCAATCCTCCTCTTTTTGCTGAGGAAGACTGGCCCTGAGCTAACATCCGTGCCCATCTTCCTCCACTTTACATGTGGGACGCCTGCCATAGCATGGCATGCCAAGCGGTCCGTAGGTCCGCATCTGGGATCCAGGCCGACAAACGCCGGGCAGCTGAAGCAGAAGGGGTGAACTTAACCCCTGCGCCACAAGACCGACCCCAAGCATGCTTGTTATTTTTATCTTGAGGCAGCAACACAAGGAACGTGAAAGGCGGCTGCCCCAAATCCCACAGCAAGGATAGTTCTGAACAGTTTCTCAATATTCACACTTCTAGGCCTTTATTCAGTTTCTTCTGCTTGCAATGCCTTTCTCCCTTTTCCATCTGGCAAACTTCCTCATACTTAAAGGTCCAGCTCAAATGGAACTACTTTTCTGAATGCTTCCGTGGTATCCCATAACCGGTGATCAGTCTTCTGTCGGAACATATCATTACTTTTGCCTACTTCCCTTCTCTACGGCTGCAATTAATAACAACTAATATTTACTAGGCTATTACTATGTGCCAGGAACTATGCTAAACATTTTTGTTTGTTTGTTTGAGGAAGATTACCTCTGAGCTAACATCCGTGACCATCTTCCTCTACTTTATGTGGGACGCCTGCCACAGCATGGCTTGCCAAGCGGTGCATATGTAGGCGCCTGGGATCCAAACCGGCAAACCCCGAGACACTGAAGTTGAGCCCGTGAACTTAACAGCTATGCCACCCAGCCGGCCCCTATGCTAAACATTTTAAATGTATTATTTTATTTAAGCCTCACAACAATTGCATGAGGTATGATTTTCCCTATTTTATATATGAAGATCCTGAGGCTTAAAGTGGTTAAGTAAATTGCCCAAGAACACATGGCTAGGAAGTAAGAAAGCTGGGATTCAAACTGTGGAACTCAAGAGGCCACTCTGAAAACACTGGACCATGCGTTCCTGGTGGCCACAAATGCTCTTAACTCATCTGTCTTCCCAGATTTTAGGACGGTGGCTGAAATACAGCTCGAAAGTTGAACCAATTAATACACCCGTCATATCCCATGCCTGGGTCTAGAAGGTGGCCCAGTACTCTCACCCCAGGTGGAGGCCTCCACTCACCGGGAGGTCATGCACACGGGGGAAACGAGGAGGAAGTCTAACTACCTTACATTCAAATCTGAGCTCCTTTATTTCATGGATTCAAGAGTGGTGAAAGAGGAACATTCTTTTCCCAACAAAAGAACACACAGATAACATTGGCTGGGTCTGAAGATGAGGGCTCTGATTAACAGGTGTGGGAGGAGGGGTCTGCTCTTAGGTGTTTTGAAAGCAGCAACTCAAGTTGTTCCAGTCAAACCAGGAAGGACCAGTCGAGATCACTCCATCTGACGGGATCATGGCGCAGACTAAGGCCCAGACAGGGGAAGGGGTCGGCCACATGGTGAGACAAAGCTGAGCCAGAGCTGGATCCCGGAATCAGAGACTACCTGTGGTTTTTCATCGCCTACCCAGTAGGGCCAGGGCGCGCATCTCTAAGAAAATGGCCTTGGACGGGAACCTCGGACTACGGGCTTCCTTCGTCCGGCCCTATCCTCTCCTCCGCCCACTTGGCCTGAGTACTCCCACCTCCTCCAGCCTCGGGGCCTGGGGAAGACTGTTCCCCTTTCGCGTCTCCAGGGCGTCTGCAAGGTCCTCTTGCGCCACCGAGGTCGCTCGAGCCGGCTTCTCCACCTGACCCCCGCCTCCGCGCGCTCGCGCCGTTCTTGCGCGGGCGGCAAACGACACCTCTTCCACAGGAAGCCGGGCCCACACCCCCACGCCCTTGCCGCAGTTCACCTCCCCGCCACTCCAAAATACGCCGACACCCCCGCTTCCTTTCGCTGGGCGCCGTCCTTCCGGCTGGGCTCCTTTCTAATTGGCTGGCTGAGAGCTTCCTTGGGGACTCGGCCACCCGGAGGGCGGCACAGCGGCCACTCTAGCCGCCGTCCCGGGATTTGGCCTCGCTCTCTCGGCTGCGAGCTCTCTATGGTGTTGGCGACATGTGGCGCCTCCCAGGACTCCTGGGCCGAGGTAAGGGGCGTCGGAGCTGCGCGCCTTGAGGCAGCCGAGACTCCGAACCGGAGGAGGGGCGGGCGGGAGGACCGAGCCAGAGCGGTAGTGGGCGGGGCTAGAGCGGAGGAGGGGCGGGGCTACATCCCAGAAGCCTGGGGATCTTTGAAATTTGAGGATGGAGCTAGTGGGAAGACGGTGGCGCTTAGAGCCAAGGAGATGGGTGAGGCTGTTGAAAGGGGGAGGAGCCAAATGGAAGGAGATGGTGGGCGGAGTCGATCAAAGATGGGTACTTAGAGGCCAGTGGCGTAGGGGGAGCCAATGGAAAGAGGTGGGATTTAGAGACAAAGTGCCCCAAACATTGAGAGTTTGTCATTTTAGAACAGTGGTGTCAGCCCTAGGAGGGCATCAGAATCACCTGAGGAGCTTTTTCACAACATAGATGCTCCACCGTGAATGATCGTGGTTTACTAGTTCTGGGGTGGCACCCTGGAATCTGTACATGTAGCTACGGAGCCAGTGATTCCTGGGTTCCTGGGGTGGGGCTCTGTCAAGGGTCAGAGGGAAGATTGGTGGGGCCCGCCATTGCCTCCATCCTGTTCATGTCAGGTAACTAATCCTTGTTTTGCACAGCTCTTCCCCGTCTGCTGGGACCTGGCCTCCGGGGGCTGAGCTCCAAGTCCACCAGCCCAGATGGCCCTCAGGCTGCCTCCTCTGCCCTGCTGGCCCCTGTGCCCAGCTTTGACAGGTGAGATACTGCCATTCCGTCACCCATCTCCTCCCCTGGGCTCCCTCTCCCCAGACTTGGGACAGAACTTGATAGCCTCTATTGCATCATCTAGGTCGGGCCCCCATGGCCCAGGCCCAGGCACAAGCAGGGGCCCAAGGTCCCATGGATGGAAGGCTGCCTTCCAGTGGATGTCTGCCCGTGTCTCCCCAAACACCCTGAGGGATGCCATATCGTGGGTAAGGCTTCCCCAGTCCTGTCCTTGACCTTCAGTGTGGATAAGAGTGATCCTGCATCTAACTATAGCCTAGAAACAAGAGCCTCGGCATCATTGTGCCCACACTCAAAATTTGAGTAAACCATTGGAGCATATCTGGGGAGATATTGCCACTCCTCTTTCCTGTTCTCCTCCCTCCCCCAAATTTATTCATCCTTTTATTCAGTAAACATTTAGTTAACACCTTCTCTGAGCCAGGCATTTCTACTAGGCACTAGGAAATAGTGGAGGACAAGGTGGATATGATTCTTGCCTTCATGGAGCTTACAATAAATACTACTAAATAGCTAACATTTTATTTATTAATGTGAAATATTATATATGTACTATCTTATTTAATCTTTACAAAAATCTTGCAAGGGAAATATAATCTCCATTTTATAGATGAGGAGTCTCAGGCTCTGAAACTTTAGGTAACATGCTTAGGTCATACAGCTCTTAAATAGAGGAAGCAGATTTTACTCTGGAACGCCTGCTCTCAGTGCCCATGCTCTGCAGCTTGGTTGCTACACCTCGTATGGCTTGTAAAAACACCTAGTGGAGATCCGGGCCCTTAATAGTTGCTCAGTAAATGTTTGTTGAATCTAATCTATAAAGTCAGATGCTCAATAGCAAACACTAGGTCTAATAGGGCAGAATCTTTGCCTTCCAGGTTCTGCTTGTAAGGTATTCTGGATGAAGTTGGCACACACATCACTCTCATGTCTGTCACGTCTCATCCCTATCACTTTCATGCTGTGTATTTTGGGCAAGTGACTTGACCTCTTTGAGCCTCAGTTGTCTCATCTCTAAATCGGTGTCATCAGCAGAGCTGAGCCTGGAATGTCTGCATGACAGGGGCACTTCCCTCTGGGGAGCTGTGGACTGGAAGCATAACACACCCAAGAGAGGGGAGCATTTGCCCATTTTGTCAAAGATCTGAGCCCTAGGGTGATCCCACAGTGAGTCCTTTTAGAAACTGGGCCTGGATCCTAGGGGTCCTGATGCCATCCCTCAACTTTGTCACTACTGCCCATGTGGAAGGGTGTGAGCATGAGCTGTCCCCGAGTAACGTGGGTACATGTCCCTGTTATTGACAGTACTGGCATCTTCTCTTCCTTCTGGCCTCAGCTCACGCATCTCCCCAACAGAGAGACATTCCCTGACTCCCTGTCTTGTCAGGCCTCCCTGTTATGCTCTGTGTAAACCCCTGATTTGTTTCCTTTTAGGCAGTTAGCATGATTTATAGTTAGTTATCCTATTCGTTTCTGTGTGCTTGGATTTTGTCTTTCTCCCTCGCCAAAGATAATCTCCATGAGGGCAGAAACTGTGTCTGTCTTATTTGCCATTGTCCATAGCGCCTGTTGCAACAAATAAGTATTTGGATGTCCCTTTCTGTGCACAACACCGGAAGGGATGGGGAAAACGGAACAGTCATGGAGCTAGGCGCTGGCTTAGGTCTTCTGCAGAACTGTCGGAGAAGAGACACCTTCAGCAAGCTTGTACCTGTGACTGTGTGGTGGGGCCACCTGGTAGGGGGGACGGGAGGAGTCGTGCCAGGCTGGAGAAAGAGAAGGAGCCTGCTGGGGAACTCTGGCCTGTCGCTGCATTTGTGGCCAAGCCCCAACTTCCCACATTATCTTTTTGCCTGCTTAGACTGCGTTTGTCCAGTCACTTGCTCATGTGTTTATTCAGCATGTATTTCTTAGTGCTGTATCTTAGCACCCTACTAGGTGCTGGGGATATGCTGGTGAGCAAAACAGACGTGGTTCCTGCCCTTGTGGTGCTTAGAGACTAACAGGAGAGACAGACCTTAGATGGGTAATCGTAGAGATGATTATTTAAGTACCAGTGTGATCAGGGCTCCAGAGGGGAAGCATGGGTGCTGTGAGCGTCTGTGGTAGGTGAGCTGCTCCAGCCAAGAGCTGGAAAGGCTTCTCGAGGAAGTGGCATTGGAGCTAAAGGCTGAGACTGAAGGAGTTGTCTGGTGGAGAGCCGTGTCCCTGATGTGCTGTCTTTCCCAGGGCACTCTGGCCGTGCTGGCCCTGCAGCTGGCAAGGCAGATCCACTTCCAGGCAAACCTGCCAGCAGGACCTCTGCGAGCGGAGCGCTGCTCTTGGCGCAGTCCCCTGGACCATTTCCTCTCGTCTCCCTTGTGGCACCCGTGCTCCTGTGAGTTCTCAGTCCCGGGGACAGGAGGGCTGGGCTGGGAGTTTCTCTGGGCCAGGAAGCATCTCTGGACACACCTCAGGAAAAGAGCCACCGGCAGCTCCTTGCCTTTCCTATCTGAAGTCAGAGGAAGGGGGATGTGAGGAAGTTCTATCCACCCAGGGTGTGGGCCACGCCTGCCCCTCAGTGTCGTCTGTGTCCTCTCCTCACCTTCCGTGGAGGGAGCCCCACAGGGGTCCAGGCTACTTCAGATCCTGGGTGTGGCTTCCTGCCTACCCCTCAGCCAGTTAGGTCATTCTCTAGTCAGTCATTCATTAATAAGGGAATCTTGATTGAGTAGCTATTATGTGCCATGGTTAAGGCTCTGGAGTCAGATTGTCAGGGTTCAAGCCCTAGAGCTTTTCATACTAGTCTTGCGTCCTTGGGCCAGTCACATTTAGCTTCCCTGTGCCTCAGTTTCTTCATCTATAAAATAGGGTAATAATAAAACCCATCCTATAGGTTTCTTGGGAAGACTAAATGAGGTAATACATGTCAAGGACTTAGAGCAGTGCCTGGCACATAGGAAGTACTCAGTAACTATTAGTTTAAGTTCTTGTCATTAGTATTATGATTATAATCACTATCAATATTACCATCAGACACAGCGATGGGTGCTGGGGCTACAACAGTGAATAAGGTAGATGCCTCCCTCCGCTGGAGGAATTCAAGCAAAGGAGTGATTTATTCTTAGGGTGGGAGATTAGCATAAATGCCGGCCCCTCTCCACTCTTCAGAGGGAGGGAAGCCAGCAAAGGAAATGGAGGAGGAGGCATGAGAAGGAGGTGTCACAGGAGTTTCCAGATTCTTCCTTTGGTCCCCCAAACCTCAGGGAGGACTCCGTCAAAAACCCCACAGGCTGAACTGCTGCCGTTTTGACACGACCACTCTTATTGGCTCTTTCCAGCGCTGCGGAGGCATATTCTCCCCAGCCCTGATGGCCCAGCTCCCAGGCACACTGGCCTCAGGGAACCCAGGCTGAGCCCGGAAGATCGGTCCATTCAGGCCGAGGGCCTCTCTCCACACAGTTCCTTGAGAGGAGCTGGTCCTCAGGATCCCTCTGAGGAAGGTATGTCCCCACCTCGTAGAATCAGCAGAAGGCCAGGGCAGGGGTGGGGAGTTAGGCAAATGGACATTTGTTGCTGCATATGCCAGGTAAGGAAATTGTCATTCCCTTGAGGTCTCATGCTTTCTGGGGCAATTTCGAATTATTTTGGTTCCTGGCAGTGGTGCTAGATGGAGGGGCTGGGTAGACTGGGAGAGGGGGAGATAAGGAGAAATAACACCCTCTCCTTTGCCCTGCTTGGGTGCCGGCCATTCGCCTTGCAGATCCCAGTGATGTCAACTTCCTGCATGCCAGCAGTAGCTTCAGATCCAAGGCAAAACCGGCCCAGCCTCAGCCCGCTGGTGAAAAGCAGGTATTATCCAAATTTGGCCAGTCGGATCCCCATAATATTCCCCTGGGCAGGTAGCGATCCCAGTGAACTGTCCCCGATGAGTCTTTATATTTCTTCCCCAGGAACAGGAGCAATCCAAAACTCTTCCCCTTGAGGAGGCTGTGACTTCCATTCAGCAGCTCTTCCAGCTCAGTGTTTCCATCGCTTTCAACTTCCTGGGTAACTGGGTGGACATCGCCTCAAGGCAGGCGGGTGGGAACATGGAAAGAGTCTGGGGCTGGTCACATACAGTCAGAGTAGGGAGTGGTTTAAATAAGGGAGAGTTTATTTTCTCCCTGGTAGGTAGACCGAATCTGGCACGGTGACACAGTGGTGTCGGGGACCCATTCTCATTCCAGTACTTCTGCCATTCTTAAAACTGGCTTCCATCTCAAGGCCCATTTTGGCTATTCCAGCTCCTGCTGTCGTATCCAAATTCTAGCTAGCTGGAAGGGGGAGGGTGGAGAAAGTAAAGGACCACTCCTTTCCAACCTAGAAGTTGCTCATATCATTGTCCAGAATGTAGGCTTACAGCCACGCCTAGTTGCAGAGGACACTGGGAAATGTAGTCTCTAGCTGAATGACCAGGTGCTCACCTGAAAATTCTGTTACTGTGTAAGAAGGAGAAAATAAACCTTGGAGGACACCTTGCATTTTCTGCCACACAGGCAAGAACAGGCTCCTGAGGTTTGGAGCAGGCCCTCAAGTGCACGAATAGGAACCTCTTAGCCACATCTGGAGACTCCAGATGTCTCGCCACCATTTGTCCTGTTCTACACAGTGACTTGGCTTAACTTTCAGGCCTTAGAATGTGGAGACCCAGACTCCCAGCATCATTTGTTAGATCTAGTGGGCAGGTGGGTGAAGGCTGGGATCCATTCAGTATAAATTTATTAAGCATTCACGTTTTGCTCGGCCCTATTTTACGTGTTGGGGATATAGTGATTCACAAAACAAAGTCCTTATTCTCATGGAGCTGATGTGTAAGTTGAGGGAGAGAAACAATAAGTCAGCAAACAAATAAAGAATTTCAGATGGTGATAAATATTATGGAGGAAATTAAACAGGAGAATGTGTTAGTGATTTGGGCAAGGAACAACTTTTGACTTGAAAGTCCTCACTGATGGGAAGATCCCTGTGTTAAGACCTGACTAACAAAAATAAGCCAGTCTTTCCGTCTGGAAAAAGAGCTTTCCAAGCAGAGGGAAGAGCAAGTGCAAAGGTCCTGAGGCAGGATTGAGTTTTCCTTGTTAAAGGAACAAAAGAAAAGTGAATGTGGCTGGAGCTTAGAGATCTAGGGGAGAATAGAAAGAAATGGAGTCAGAGAAACAGGCAGGGCCAGATCAATGAGGTCTTCTGAGCCACAGTGCAGTGTGGATTTTCTGAGTGGGACAGGAAGCCATTGGAGGGTTTTACCATGAAGCAGGAAGGAGGGCAGTCACATGATCTGATTTACTTTTTCAAAGATCTCTCTGGCTGTTGTGTAGACATACGTGGATGGTAGGACTGCCAGCGGGGAAACAGGAGACTGGTTGGAGTTGTTATTGATGGCTAAGCAAAACGTGATGGTGGCTTGGTCTAGGCTAGAGGCAGAGAGGACCAAGAAGAGTAGCTGGATCAGGGAGCCAGTGTGGGAATGGGCACAGGGTGGGATCTTTGCCCTCTTGAGTCTTCTCCTCGGGGACAGAGGGCTCTGCGAACCCTGGACAGCAAGTTTTCAGGCAGCAGGGAGGCAACTGTAATTCACTGCTGGCTGAATGGAACCTGGCTTCCGCCTCATTAGCTTTTTGTGATTTTGATGGGCAGACAGTCTCTTCTGAGAATTTTCTTGCCTGTTCCTTCATTCATATATTCATTTATTCAGCGAGTGCTAAGCGCTGTGAAGGCACACAAAGGGAGTGTGGGCCGTAATCATATTTTGCATTTGTATAGAGCTCACCCCATGCAAAGTTATTTCTTCTACATTCTTTTTCTGCTTCTGCCTCCAGGATTTTACAGTCTAATTGAGGAGACAGGCCTTGTGCTCTTGGAACAGTTTAGTTCATAGAAAAAGGCTTGTGAAGAAAGTACCAAAAGAGTGTTTAAAGCCTGAGTGTGGTCTGAAGGTTCCAGAGCAGATAGAGGATGGGGAGGCCTGATGGTGGAGGCAGAAAAGGATATCCCAGGCCGGAGAAACAGCTTGGCAAGGGCTTGGAGTCGAGAATTGGCTGTGCCCAGCTCCTTCCTGTTTTCCTTTTGGTGTGGATGATAAAATGAACATCGGCTTTGGCGTGGCATATGCCTGAGTCCAGGTCTCAGCTCTCTTAGATCATCTCTCGTAGTTTCCTCTTAAAGCAGGATGAACAGTACCAGCTGTATCAGTTAGGTTTTGTTGGTTACAAGCAGCCTAAGCCCACCCCAGCTACCTTAAGCACAGAAAGAGTCTATTGGGATCTGTTGACCTGCCAAGCCTCAGAAAGGACAGGAATCATGGAAGCTCCAGGGACCCAGGGTTCAGTTACTGAGAGTGTCCTGCTGCCAGAATAAACCCGCAAAGCTGTTTCTCTCTGATAGCAACCAGATCAAGATTCACTTTCCTGAGAGAGGGTCTCATTGGTCGGGAAGAGCACAGGCACTTGATTGACAGTACTGGGGGAGGGCTGTTCCCAAAAGGAAGTCAGGATGCTATTGCCAAGAGGAGGATGGTGTATAGGAGAGCAGAACCTCCTCATGTCTGTAGCAAACCAGTGAAGCATTCAGAGGATGGAAATATGTGCCAAGTGTCTAGCACAAAAAAGCAAGGAAGGAGCCTGTGGGTATCTGGCTGAGGACGTGGGGAAGTTCACAGAGGAAGCTGTGTTTACGCCCTGTGCTGTCTTACAGGGACAGAGAACATGAGGAATGGGGACTACACGGTAGCCTTTTCTTACTTCCAGAAAGCAGCAGACCGCGGCTACAGCAAGGCACAGTACAATGTGGGCTTGTGTCACGAGCACGGCAGAGGCACCCCCAGGGACCTCAGCAAGGTACTGCACGTCCTCCCCTGCCCCAGCCTCGTCCCCTGTGTTGCCCGGAGTGACCTCCAGAAATAAGCAGTGAGCAGGGCTTGGGGAAAGTCCAGCTCCTCTCTTCCAGCTGGGAGGGGAAAATAAGAAAGAAGCTCCTAACTCCTGGGAATTTAGACTTAAATCTCAGGGTGGCAGAGACCTTGTCTTTCTTCTTTGCAGCTGTATCCTCAGGGCCTAGAATGTTGCCTTGATAAATGGATTAGTTAATTCTAAAAAAGTAGGATAAGTACACAAAGATGTTATATATAAGACTGTGTTTCTTAGAATTGTATATGATGGCGAAAAAAGGAAAGCAACTTGAAGTTCCTTTGGTAGAGGGTTGGTTAATAACATCTATGTGGGCCTTAGAAATAATGTGCTGGATCTATATTTATTGACAGGGAAAGACATTCATGGTGTATTGTTACGTGAAAAAGTAGGTTACAAAACAGAGTGTAGTTCTCTCTCTCTTTCTCGTAAACACACACATCCATTTATATATATGTGTGTGTGAACGTATATATAATGGATCTGTGTATATATATAAATCTTTATATATGTGGGAAGAAATTTTCAAGGCTGTACACTAAAATGTTAACAGAGAGTGATTTTTAGGAGGCAAGATTTCTTGGGATTTTGTGTTTCTATTTTTGGTTTATCTGTGTTTTAAAATCTTGGCTTATCTGTATTTTCTGACTAATCTATAATGATTATGTATTATTTAATTAAAATAGTTTTTTTAAATTTCACTCCAAGAAAAAGCTGGGCTTATAGAATTACCAGTTGACTGAGTGTTTCTCCCTTTGCCCCAGGCCGCCCTTTATTACCGGTTGGCTGCCAGTCAGGGCCACAGCCTGGCTCAGTACCGCTATGCCAGGTGCCTGCTGCAGGGCCCATCCTCCTCGTGGGACCCTGAGCGGCAGAGGGCAGTGTCCATGCTGAAGCAGGCTGCAGACGCAGGCTTGAGAGAGGTGAGTGCCATTGGTGGGGGTCTCTCCTTGGCGGCTGGGGCATGCGGGGCTCCATGTGGCCTTGATACCTTTTTCCTTCCTCCTTAACCACAGGCTCAAGCTTTCCTCGGGGTGCTTTTCACCAAGGAGCCATACCTGGATGAGCAGAGGGCTGTGAAATACCTTTGGCTTGCAGCCAACAATGGGGTATGAGGTCTCCAGTGTCCAGGCATGTTGGGGATCGAGTCTGATAAAGGAAGGGATTTTGGAACTGGTACTGAGTTTTCCTGTCTTTAGGAGACGGTTGATCAGAGCATTAAGCTAGCCTCAAGCCTTACCTCTCACTGACTTACTCTGTGACCTTTGGGCAGGTCCACTGGTATGCTGGAGCTGGCTTGCACCAGCCTGCAAGAGCTGTCGGTAGCTTAAAATCAGCCATGCGAGGAGTCTTTGCACCCAGAAATTGCTGAATGCTAAAAGCAAAGCTTTTCCCCCTGGAGAGCCAGTTGTTAAACATTTACCAGCACACTACTGGGCCAGTCACGTCTTGTTTTCCTCATCTCTAAAATCAGGATAATAATGCCTGCCTTACCTGTCTACTACTTCACAGGGCTGTTGTGAGGATCAAAGTCTGACTAGAAGAATAGGTGTGGAAGCACTTTGTAAGCTGTACACACTACAGGTGCAGCATCACAAGCGGCATAGTCCAGGGAGTCAGAAGACACATTGGGGGAAGACACTGAGCACTTTGGGGGCTGGGGGATGTCTGCTTGTCCGTGAACTGGAGGCAGCCAGGCAGCATGACCCAGAGTTTGTTCCACAGAGCATTAGTTCCATGGGATGTTTATAAATAATAGGGAAAAAATGGTCAGTTGGGTTCAGGAAATACTGAGTTAAAAAGGTAATTTTAATGGAGGAAATCTCAGAGCTTTATGTCACTGTCAATCACCAAGAAGGCATCTGTGGTTCGCTCTACTCCTCAAATGTATTTGGCAGTATGTTTTTTGAGTTGAATCTTGAAGGACCAAGAGCCCTGGATTAAAGCAAGCGATGTGTGTGGACTAGACTTTCCCCACATGGCAGCTGCTGCTTCCCTTTGTTTTCCTACCAACACGCTGACAGCTTCGCGGAACTCTTAGGCATCGGAATACTTTTCCTTTTTCACTCGATGTTGCCCAAAGTATCTGTAGTAGCTGTCAAAAGGGGGCTGATGTCACCAACCCGCACCCGCCTCTGTGCTGGCTTTTTGTTGAAAGAGCGCCAGAGTCTTACTCAGGCTGAGTGGGCCTCACGTCCATGTGCTGGACAAGCCTGGGGGCACCCTGGCCTGCGTTGGTCACCAACATGCTCAGAGGGGAAGTGCACAAAGGGATGTTATGGAACACGGTGTCGGGGCACAGTCCTCACTCTCAGCCACTCCACTAGGTATGATGTCTTCCTGGGTTGGTACTGCACAGTGCTGCAGGGAGGCTGTTTGGTCTTATGAATGTCCAGCGCTGTATTCTAAGTCAGCCGGTAGCCATGAGTCCACCGTATTTATTACGTAGACTTTGGCCTGCATGTAACAAACCCTTTCCAGAAATTTGACTGTGGAAGCTGTAAGAGAATGAGACCATGGTTGGAAATCAACAGAGTGCTTTGTTTTTTTATGTTGAGATATTGAATATAATAAAATATTCCAGGGGCCGGCCTGATGGCATGGTGGTTAAGTTCACACGTTCTACTTCTTGGCGGTCTGGGGTTCACCGGTTCGGATCCCGAGTGTGGACATGGCATTGCTTGGCAAAAGCCATGCTGTAGTAGGCGTCCCACGTACAAAGTAGAGGAAGATGGCACAGATGTTAGCTCAGGGCCGGTCTTCCTCAACAAAAAGAGGAGGATTGGCAGTAGTTAGCTCAGGGCTAATCTTCCTCAAAAAAAAAATACATATATTCCAGTAGAGAGGGAGAAATTAATGATGTGGGCAACTAAAGATATGAAAATAAAAATAACAGTAACCTAAGCACTTTTCATATATGAACACCTTTAATCCTCATGACAACATAATAAGGTAGGTGCTATTATCATGCCCACTTTATAGATGAGGAAACCGAGGCAGAGAGACATAGGATGGCATGCCTGAGTTGGCGCAGCTGGTAGGCAGTGGAGCCGAGACTGGAGCCCAGGTGGTCTGGCTGTACAGACTGGGCTCCTAACCCCCACCTGATACTGCCTCTCCGAGGAGTGTAGCTCTCAGAGAGGAGAGAGAGGACCCAGAGCCATGGGCAAAGAGATTAGTCTTTTAGTCCCTCAAAGGAGAAGAAAGACTTTCTCTGTAAGGTATGCTTGCAGCCCCCTCAGCAGAGGTTCAGCAAGGCACACCAGGCCTTGGGAAGCCCAGCCTCCATCCTTGCTCCTGGCTCTTTCAGGATGACATAGGAGTCTGACTCCCAGGTTTCATGTCACTGGGCTGAGTGCTTCCTGTGGCCTTCCCTTCTCCATGCTCTCAGCACCAGCCTCAGCGAGAGAAGCTCCCACACTGCTCTGGCTGGAATCTCCCTGGGTGGGGGGATGTTATCTCCTTTGTGTAGGGCGAGCTCTGTGCCTCTGGCTTTTCATAGTTGACATCCCTTGGTCCAGGGAGGGCCAGGCCCGGGCCTTGACCCTGCATGGATGAAGCCCCGGCATGCCTGACTGCTCCCCTTCCTCCTGCCTCAGCGTTTTGGTTCTTCACTCCTGCCTGTGTCCGTATGCGCGCATCTGTCCATTTTCTCCTGTAGGACTCACAGAGCAGGTACCACTTGGGAATTTGCTACGAGAAGGGCCTTGGTGTGCAGAGGAGTCTGGGAGAGGCTGTGAGATGTTACCAGCAGTCAGCGGCTCTGGGGAATGAGCCCGCCCAGGAGAGGCTGCGGGCCCTCTTTTCTGTGGAGGCAGCAGGTAAAGACGCAAGTCAACACCAGCAGGGTCCCTCTCCTGAGTCAGTACCCCATGACAGAGCAGGGGGTGGCAGTAGCCCTTGATCCCCTTGTCTTTTCCTGCCCCAGTGGTGGGTAAGAATAGAGCTTTTCGAGTCAGACAAATATGAGAGTTAATCCCTGCTCTGTCACTGAACTTGGACTCCATGTCTTTGAGCCTCAGTTTCTTCACCTCTGAAATGAGGGTGCTGGTAGTCCCTTACTCATTTTGATGATTTGTCAGGAGAGACCATATCTTGAGACTGCCTCCGTGCCCTGGATCACCCTTCTAGCGCTCTGAGAGCCCTGCTCACTCCTGATTCACTCAGGCAGGCCTGGGTTAATCCCAGGGGGAACCAAGTCCTTTAAGAAGTCCTTGCTCCAAGGTAGGAATCCAAGAAGACAGTAGTATAAGAGTTGCTCTCACCTCTCTTTGCAGCCCCGGGGTCCAGCGACCTGGCAGTTAGAGGATTGAAGTCCTTCTCCAGCCCCTCCCTCTGCAGCCTGAACACTCTGCTGGCAGGAACCTTGTGCCTCCCACATGCCTCAAGCACAGGGAACCTTGGCCTCCTCTGTAGAAGCGGGCGTCTCGGAGCCAGCCCTGGAGCCCCCAGCAGGGCTCTCCCGCCTCACCCCTACCCCTTGGAAAGGAGTCTCGTCAGACTGGGTTTTGGCTAAGGTGAGATAAAACACAGTCAGTGTACCTCTCACTGTGCTTAGTGGGGGGAAGGCTGGGAGGAGGTTGGATGGTAACAAAAATAGGGTGTTAGTATCCTTTTCCAGGGTGCACATTCCACTGGGAGCTCAGGTTCTGAAGCAAGCTCAAGTGCATTGGTAATAAATAACTTTGACCTTTTCCCCAAGTTGGTAGCCTTACAGACGAGCAGTGGATACCTTCACAGTTATTTCTGGTCTGTGCACAAAAAGGATTCATCCAGTGACCTGTGAAAAACTCTACTGAATTGTCCAGAGACCCTGGTCCTCACCTTGGCCCATGTCTTTGAGCAAATCCCTTACCTTCTCCCTCCCTGTGCTTCAGTTTCCTCAGGCTGGGCCTGCGTCACGTTTTTCCAACATCTGATGTGTGTGCCTCTGGGGGTTCACAAGAAGACTTTAAGTGGTACTTGAATGAATATTTTTTATTTTAGTAGTTGTATATTTAATATATAATGTAAAAATGTGACTAGTGCATTATAGTTTCACAGATATTAAAATAATGAATCAATTTAAAGTTAAACATTGTGACATTGCATAAAGGGGAGCACAGATCCAGAGAGGTGGCAAAAATCGTGAGGGTGGTTCCATGAACAGCTAAAACGTGGGAAGCACTGGATCAGGTCAGCCCCCAGGTGAGCTCCAACATTCGCTTTCATTCATCCCCAGTGGATTCACGATCATCTCCATTTCACCTTTGATTCGGAAGGAAGGAGTTTCTTGCCTAAATGTCTGATGTATCTGCTTGACTTTTTCAGACCTTCTCACTCAGCCCTAAAGATGGAACCTGTGGGTACTCGGAGAGATACCACAACTTGAGTCCCAAAGAAGAGGCCAGTTATCCACCCACCTTCCCCCAGAGCCTTAAGCACCCACCCCAGCACAGTAGGAAAAGGAAAGTGTGTGAAGACTCAGATCCTGGCCATGTCAGCTTGAAGCCATGACCTGACTTGCTATGTCTCCTCAGTTGTAGACCAAGGGCAGTGGTGTCTGCCCTCCCATCCTACAGGGCTGATGTGGGGCATTTCACTGAGGAAGGCACCTGGGTGCTCACTTAGGCCCGAGGAAGCAGAGAGATGCCCATGGTTACATGGCTTTATGAGTCTCCAGGCCTGGAGAGGACCCGCCTCCTGACTCCTGGCCCTGGGCTCTTTTGCACCCGTTCACCCTGTAATTTTGTGTGAAAGTATTGTCATCGTCCTGCTGATGTGAAGGAGTAAATGGAGGTTGAGCACCTGGAGTCTTGGAGCAGCAAGTGTCGATGTTGAGATCCTCATCTGTGAAGGGTGCGCCAGAAATGGATGGCAGTTTAATAAAACAGATGCTGGATTTTCTCATCACTCTTGCCCTTGAGTGTGTTGAGGAGAGCTGGGGAGATGGACAGGGGGAGCTGAAAGCCGAGGCTCCATCCTCGTCTCTAAACTCTCCATTAACCAATTTAAAGGGTCTTAAAAGCTTCGCTAAGAGAGAGACTTAGAGAAAAATGATTTCTGAGTCAACACTAATGATTCCAATTACTGAATTTGTGAATAGCTGCTCCCTAGCTTCTGGATGTTAGCCCAAGTTCAATAGCATAGATGTGGTTGAGGGTGGGGGGTGGGAGGGGTGAAGACCAAACTCCCTGGTGACTGTTCAAATGGGAAAGACCACCCAGCTTGGCCCGTTCAGAGGTGGGAGGAGTTGGGGGGGTCCACATTTCCTTCTCTGCTGCCCACCCCTTTCTCTCCCTTACCACTCATGGTCCCGCCATATTTTTCCCAGCACCTTCATCTCTCCGATGGAGCCCTAAGCTTCCTCTAGCTCCAGCGCCTCCCTTTCCAGGGCTGCCCTGCATACTGGCCTCCCCCTACTGGTCCCCTCATTTGGCTACCTCCCACAGATGGCTCCTTAGGAGCAGGGACCTTGTCTTTGTAATTCACTATCCTCAGCACTTAGCACAAGGCCCCGTGTAGGTAAGGGCTCAATACACACGTTGGTTAAAGCCCAGGTTTTTAAGCTGCACAGTGCACTAATCTTTCTGCAAAAAAAAAAAAAGTTTCTGTGGTCAAATAAGTTTGGGAAATGCTGCACTAAACATTCCCTTTTTATAGATTCACAATGCATATCAGCATATTCAAAGATCCAAGAAGTCCTGCAGTAAAGAACTTGGTTAACCCAATGTTTCCCAACCTGAGTTGAGCACAGAGCCTGGCTCCCTGCAGATTGCAAAGGAACCTTCCTGGGGCACCGTCTGTGTAAGATGTCACTTCCTGCCCTCCCGTGGAGCCCCACTTGCCAGCCTCTTCCCCTCCTCTTGACATTTTGGGTTCTCTGATTACCACTTCCTCCTGACCATGTCTGGGGCTGAGGGGCACTTCAGATAGTCCGGGAACACTGGGCGTCCTGTGTTGAAGGCCACATGCGCCTCCCCTCCCCCTCCGTTGTTACAAGTTAAGTACTCATTCAATTTGGTGTGCCAAACGTGAAGATGGGATATTTTTAAGCTCTCTTTGTGGAAAGGGAAGGATGGAAGAGTCGTGAGAGATGCTGTCAAGGGACCAAAAATCCTTGGCTGTTCATTCACTGCGGTTTCCATCGGTCCCAGGGGATGGGCTTCATCGGCAGACCCGGGAACTGCTGCATTCTTGCTGTGAAAATTCCGATATTAATGACTCATAGTCAGTGTCCTGAAAGGAAATGTGAGAGGCGGACAGGGAGGTGGCCCCTGTCAGCAGGGCCAGCCTGGGTCGGAATACAGGGTGACCCAAGGTTTGAGGCCTTTGCCCTCAGCAATGAGACCTTTGTGCAAGGCTCTGCTGTCTCAGTTTCCTTATCTAGAAATGCTGTTTTCAGGGAGCCCTGACAACAGTGAGAACAAGGCTGCTTGGTTCATTTTATCTTCAGTGCTAATACAGTGCAGGACACAGTAAATGCTCAGTAAACATTTATTCAGTGAGTGTGTGATTCTATGCATTGCCCCCTGTCCACCCAACACCCAGCACCAAGCCCACCCAGCACATAGTAGGTGCGTTAAATATTTGTTGAATATTAAAATAAATGTTGAATGAATGATTCTGTGTACCCCTCCCCCCACTGCTATTCCTAGTGCTGCTTCTGACATGTAGTAATTGCTCAATAAATAGTGTTTGTTGAATAAGTGTTTCTGATCATGCTTACCTCCTCCCCCCACCCATTACATTGTACCCAGTACTTAGTAGGAGCTGGAAAGGGCTGACCTGTTTTCTAGGTACACACTATGTGCCAGGCTGAGTCTATGCTGAAACTCCTCCCTCCCCCATCCTGTCCTCTCCTTTTTGGGATTTGGTTCTCTCCGGAGTCCCAAAGGTAGTGGCTGCCATCTCAGTCTTGTTTCAGCCAGAAGAGAGGTAGGGTCAGTGAGCTGCCAAGTTCAGGTTGGGTGACAGACAGGGAGGCTGCCTGTCAATCTCTGAGCTGCCCCCGGGCTCCGAGTGAGCATTGCATTGCACTCCTGGTGCTGGCGAATGGCTGACAGTTGATATAAAATGTCCCTCTGCGCTTTCCAAATTAAGACGACATTTAACTGAGCGCTGGCTGGCTTGCCTGCTCCCTCCGTTTCCCAAGGGACAGAGCCCATCTTGGTGGAAACTGTTCTGAGCACATCCAAAGTCTCGGCTTTGACATCTTGGCTGATGTCAAGAAGTTTCTGTAACCTTCCTGTTCAGCACACTCAGTGCTGTTACCATATACACTATCTCACTCTTAGCCTGTCATTAAGAAAGGGCTGGTATCAACATGCTAGGAGGGGGTTGCATGCTGTGGGCGAGAACACCAGCCCTCACATACATTCACCCCAACCCTGAGCAAAGATTGGTTGCCTCAGAACAGGAGCAACCCTACCCGTGAGTTCTGCAGGTTCTGCAAGGGAAGGCAGAACTGAGGACCGACCTGAAGGAGTGTGGTGGTCCTTAACCTTATTTAGGTCATAGAGCCCTTTGAGAATGTGATGAAAGCACTGACTCCTTTCCATAGAAAAATGTGCACCCTCCCAATTTTGCATTCAATTCAGCAGGTTCATAGATCCTGAAACCCAACCAACGACCCCAGGTTAAGAACCCTCGATGTATTAGAAAGAACTTTAAACTAAATCCCAGATCAAGATGCTAGCGCTGCCACAAACCTGCCATGTGGTTTTGGGCAAGTCAGTCTTTGCTGTTTTGCCACTTCCTTGGCTATAAAATGCTCAGACTCCTGATGACTAAAGTTGCCCACATCTGTGGAGGTTTAGAGAGTGACTTAGAGCAGTGCTGTACTACCGTCATAGTTCACAGGTTCCTTTGAGAATCTGACGAGAACTTTGTATCTTCTGCCTAGAAAAATGCTTGTGCATGAAATTCTGCTTAGTATTCTGGGGTCTGAGGACGACAGAGGCAGGACTGTTGAACTAGAGCAAGGCAGTGACCCAGCGCATCCAACGATCCAGTCTCCGGCCATGGTTCCAGGTTCCTTAGGTCACCTCCTCCTCACCTCTTCTTCTCTTCACCCTCCCGACATCAGCTCTGCTCTGAAAAGCCACTAGTAACTGGGGGGGTCAACAGTGTCTGCTGTGGTTTTCAGACTTTGTGTTCACATAATGGAACTGTTTTTTTCCTAATGAAGTCTTACCTAGAGCTCCAATATAGATAAAAGGGAACTCTGAAACATTTATTGACTCATTTATCATTCCCTCATCCATTCAACAAGTGTTCATCGAGTGTCGCTGTGTTTCAGGCACCTGGCTGGTCAGGCTGGAGACCCTGCCTGCTTGGTCTCCCCTGGTTACTCTCACTGACTTGTGGAACCCAATCGCTTGAAAACTACAGGTCTGGTAAAGAGAGCAATCTGACCTGAAGTGAGGTGATCAGAGACTCAGAGACGCTGTTCCTGAAAGCACTTAATTTGTGGGGATCTCATTTCCCTCATCTATGAAGTGGAATAATGGAATAATGATGCCATGCTGCATCCAAGTACATATGGTTTTCATTATCTCTGGTTCTCTATGGTTTTCATTATCTCTTGGGACTATATTGGCCCATTTATGTGGACAGTGAACATGAGTACTGAGCTCCACAGGAGGACAAAAGGAGGAACAGAGAGGGGAATTTTTGCCATCAGTTTCCAGGAGAGCGCCATGCTATTGAGAAGCTAGCTGAACGACTGCTTGGAAATTTCCAGGAAAATTATAAGGCTGAGCCTTGGGAAAATATTTACTATTTCTTCACTCCTTCCTCTCCTGGAAGGTTTGTTGCTGTCAGTGTCGATCTCATAGACTCAGTTCACGCACTGTCCTCTAGGGCCTGAATTCAGAGGCCTGAATCTGCCCTGATGGAGGAAGATTTACCCACGAACGGTGGGTCTGGAAAGAAGACTTCTGTACCTGAAGGGCTGCTGGCTGGGAAAGGACAGGAGCCTGCAGAGGCCCAGGGCTGCCTCAGGTCAGACCCCAGGCCCTCTCTGTCTGTGTGTGGGAGCGCAGAAGCATGCAGGCCTGAGCAGCTTTGGAAATGTTCTTCTCAACAGTGTTTCTTGAGGGGAGCTCAGACAAGTCCACTACAGGAAAAGCTCACCTGGGCGCTTTTCATTTTCTTTCCTTGGCTGGCAGTCTACTGTCAAGCTCAAGGGCATGGGTTTCGGGGTCAGACAAGCCTGCCTCCAAATCCTAGCTCTGCTTCTTCTTTTGATCTTGGGCAAGACACTCAGCCTCTCCAAGCCTCGTGTCTCTGTCTATGAAATGGGGATAATAACACCTCCCTCCCAGGGTTCTTGGGAAATTAAATTAAGTCCTATCGTAAGCCTGGTGCCTGGCTCATGTAAATGCTCTGTAAATAGTCACGTTTTTCTTAGCTCTACTTTTCCAGCTGAGAAGCAGATTATTTGATAATGTAGCAACAGATGAGTGGGGTCAAGAGCACACATGTCCGTTACTGCGTACCTGACACTGTGCACCAGTGTGCCCAACTCCTGTCCAGGCTCAGCGCGACCCTCATACCGGGGACTGAACGACAAAGAACCCTCACTGTGTTGCTCTTCTCTCCTCCCTCTTGACAGGTGCAAACAGGAAAATGAGCTACTGCTTTTCCTTTATTAGTAGGTCAGAGAGCTTCACCTGGCGCCCCAGGATCCAATCCCCACCCTCAAGTATGCATTGAGGCCATCCTTTCCTGCTTGTGACACTCCTTGGCATCTGTTCCACAGGAGGACCGACCTTCTGTGCTCTACGTGTGTTTTGCCAGCAAACACTTATCTCAGCCACAAACTGTCTCCATCCTCCAAAAAATTCACAGGCAGAGCCACCCCTAACAAGGGGCTGCTTTGGTCGGCCAGCTGTTAGTCCTGAGGCCCCTGCCTCCTCTGTGGGGCAGCATCGATCACCCTGAGATTCTCGGGCCACCTCTGGTCAGTGAATTCAAAGATTTGAGAAACCAGCTCATGTCCCAGGATCCTCAGGGCCTGGGCTCCCTAACATCTCCCAGGGCTCCTGGTTCCTGGACCCACAGGCCCCTGCTGCTGCTGCCGCTGCTGGTCCTGCTCTCAGCCCCCCTCTTTCTACCTGGGCCCCCCTGTACTTCCATTCCTGAGTTCCCGCTGGTGGCCAGGTCTAGACTGAGGGTCCTTCCGCAGACGGAGAGCCGCCGCAGCACCTCGGAGGCGGCCTCCACGGGGACGCCGGAGCGCTGCTCCAGGAGCATCTCCAACAGCGAGCTCATCTCCGAGAGGAAGGTGCTGGCCAGCCTCGTGCCTGTTGGGCTCAGCTCAGGCCCTGTCGCCTTGCCGAATGTCTGGAAGGTCTTTGGCTCCTCCAAAGCCGCAGCATCCGGGGAGCACACGTTGTCACGGTAGTTGGTGGTGAGGGGCAAAGAGAGCCTTGCCATCCAGGCCGGGTCTGGGGTGCTCAGCCGGTCCAGGGCCAGGCCTGCAAGGGGAGGAGGGGACACAGTGAGGACCCGGCCCAGGGAAGGGACAGGCGGGCGAGGGTGGGGCTGCGGGCAGGGCAAGGGCACCGGACAAAGGAGGGAAGGGAAGTGGCGGGGGACAGATGCGGTGGCCAGAGGGGGACGGGAAGGAAGAGGCCCTGACAGGGATGCTCGCTGGGCAGGAAGGCGGCTGACTGAAGTAGGCACGTGAGCTGAGTGGGGAGGAGGCAGGAGGAGAAGGAAGGCCCAGAATTAGAAGTTGGCCTGTTTCTAAAGAATTTCCCCGTCCGTGGTGTGCTTCAGGTCCAGGCGTCTTTCACCCTATTCCTGTATAGCCGGGGCACCACTAGCTGAGGATGGGGGAAAAATCCCTTTCTTAGCCAAGACTGGGGTTCCTGGCTTGGTCCTCCCTTCTGTTCATATTCATAATAATAGTGACCACTTATTAAGTACTTCTGTGCCAAGCAATTTACATCATTATTTCATTTAACCTCCACACAAACCTCGGAAGTCAAGAGTATCCCATTTTATGGATGAGGAAACTGAAGTTCTGACAAGTTAAATTACAGATCTACCAGGCAACCAAACCTGGATCTGACCCCAGGCCTGATGCCTTCGAAGCCCCCTGTGACGGCACCACCCTCCCCACTCTTCCTCCCCTGGATGCTCCAGGTGCCCCGCTGTGGCCTCTGGGATTCCCAGGCCCGCTGAGGTCTGTACTGTCACCACTTGGCCTCATGCCCTCAGCTCCTCAACCTTCACCACTCAAGCTGCTGGAAACTCTGGCCTAGAGGCAGGCTGGGAAGGGGCTGGCTGCCTGAGGGCTATCCCAGGAAGGGAACCGGCTGTGAAAAACTGCCCCCGAGATCCCCAGTGCCACCATCGCACTTCTCCTTTTCCCGTCTCTTCAACAGAAAATTCTGCCTCAAAAAACTAGTCCCAGGGCAAGCCAGAGGAAAGTATAAGTACTGTGGTTAGGAAACTGTGTCTTTAAAAAAAAAAAAGCACATCTACTTTCACATGTATTTAATGTTTGTTTAAGGTGAGCTGCTTTAAAATCTGTGCAGAGAATAAAAGATCGGAAGGAGGTCTGTCAAGGTGTTAACTGAAATTACCCCTGGGCAGAAGTGATTTATTCTCTCTTTGTTTATCTACATTTTTCTATGTTAACCAAATATTACTTTCGTAATTTGGAAAAGTTATTCCAAAATACAGCTAATCG